ATCTCACAACATGGATGAACCTAGAGGACATTATGCTGAGTAAAATTAGTCACAAAAGGACAAATATTATAGGAAATCATGTCTTTTAAAAGTAAAGAAAAGGTTTTCATAATAAAAGAAACATCCTATGATTGTTACCGGGGGGAGGGAGGAGGAAAGATCATTCATGGGCCACAGGGTTAACATGGGTGACAGGGCAGGCACTGTACAACAAAGGAAGGTTGGCAAAGGAAAGATGAAGGTAGCAAGAAACACAGACGGAATACAAGAGTTAAAGGGAATAGAGGTAAGTACTGTTAACTGATGGTAAATGGAGGGGTTGCAATCATTGTAATGAAACAAAGTATATGATTTTTTAAATATAAAACTGATTATCTCCACTGTAAACCTACAGTGAATTCACAATAAATTGTTTAAACAAGTACATAAAAGGGATGGGGAGATGGTCCACAGATGTAAGGCCTGTGGAAAGGACTTCCTTTGTATCTCAACCTTCAGTCACCCTGCACCCACGCTGCCAGGTGAGAGACGCTATATGTGTGATGAATGTGGAAAATATTTCTGCAGCTTCTCAACCTTCTGGAAACATCTAAGAACTCATCGGTGTGAGTGCAAAGAGTGTTGCAAGACCTTCAGTCATTATTCATCACTCATTTTACGTAAAAAGTTTCGTAATAGAAGTAAGCCTCATGAATTTAAGTAGCGTGGGAAAGCCTTCAGGCAAGCCTCAGATCTCACTATACACAAAAGAATCCACAGCAGAGAGAAACCATACTAATGTAAGGAGTGTGGGAAATCTTTTACGTGTTCCTCATACCTCACCACACACATGAGAATCCACAGTGGAGAGAGGCCTTACGAGTGCCAAGAATGTGGGAAAGCCTTTATCAATTACTCAGCCCTCACTAAGCATGTAAGAATTCACAGTGGCGAGATGCCTTACGAGTATATGGAATGCAGCAAAGTCTTCAGGCGAGCCTCAAACCTCAGCATGCACAGAAAAATCCACAGTGGAGAGAGACCTTATGAATGTAAGGTATATGAGAAAACCTTTGGCTGTTCCTCACACCTCACTACACACATGCGAACTCACAGTGGAAAGAAGCCCTATGAATGTAAGGAGTGTGGGAAGACCTTTAGTCAAACCTCAGCCCTCACTGCACACATCAGAACCCACACTGGAGAGAAACCGCACAAATGTAAGGACTGTGGCAAAGCCTTCCGCTATTCCTCAGTCCTCAAGTTCCACGTGAGAATCCACAGTGGAGAGATGCCATTTGTATGTAAGGATTGTGGGAAAGCCCTCAGGAAAGCCTCAGACCTCACTACACACAGAAGAATCCACAGCAGAGAGAAACCATATGAATGTAAGGAGTGTGGGAAGACCTTCAGTCAAACCTCAGCCCTCACTACACACATCAGAACCCACACTGGAGAGAAACTATACAAATGTAAGGACTGTGGGAAAGCCTTCCACTGCTCCTCGGTCCTCACAAAGCAAGTGAGAATCCACAGTGGAGAGATGCCATTTGAATGTAAGGAGTGTGGGAAAGCTTTTAGGTGTTCCTCAGACCTCACAAAACATGTAAGAATTCACAGTGGAGAGAAGCCCTATGAATGTAAGGAGTGTGGGAAAGGCTTCAGGCATGCCTCAAACCTCATTATACATAGAAGACTCCACAGCGGAGAGAAGCCCCATGAATGTAAGGAATGTGGAAAAGCCTTTATTACTTCCACAGCCCTCACTGCACATATGCGAATTCATAGTGGAGAGAGACCCTATGAATGTAAGGAGTGTGGGAAAGCCTTTTTCCAATCCTCAAGTCTCACACAGATCTCACTATACACAAAAGAATCCACAGCAGAGAGAAACCATACAAATGTAAGGAGTGTGGGAAATCTTTTAGGTGTTCTTCACATCTCACCACACACATGCGAATCCACAGTGGAGAGAGGCCTTATGAATGTAAGGAGTGTGGGAAAGCCTTTAGACAGTCCTCACAGTGCAATAGACACATGAAAATTCATAGTGGAGAGAGACCCTATGAATGTAAGGAGTGTGGGAAAGCCTTTTTCCAATCCTCAAGTCTCACAAGACATAGAAGAATGCGCAGTGGAGAGAGGCCCCTATGAGTGTAAAGAATGTAGAAAAGTCTTTATTTTTTCCATATCCCTCACTGCACATATGCGAATTCATAGTGGAGAGAGGCCCTATGAATGTAAGGAATGTGGGAAAACCTTCAGGTGTTCCTCACACTTCACGTCACATATGAAAACTCACAGTGGAGAGGCTGCTCTATCTCAAAAGTAGGGTTGTTGTTGTGTCATTTCTGACCCGTAGCGACCCTGCCTAGGGTTTCTAAGGAGCAGCTGGCGAGCTTGACTCACCGACCTTGCAGTCCAGCGTGCTAGCCCAGAGCACCACACCAGGACTCCCAGAAGTAGGAGGCATCATCCTTAATACTGTAATTTTGAACAGCAAATCTCTGAAACTCTAGAAATTAAAAAAAAAAAAAAAGGCTTTTCAGTGAGTAAGAATATAATACTGACTCCAAATAAAGAAAAATGCATTTCAGTGAGTAAGAAAATAATACTGACTCTAAAGGAAGCATCACTGGAAATACCTTGTGTCTTTGGGAGAAATGAGTTTCTTTGTCACTAAGGTGTGACCATCAAACTTTACTTGTTTTCAGCCCAAGCTAAGTTTTACCCTTCATAAAGTCTTTGGATGTTACTAATAAGGCTGCGAAGGAGCTCTGGTAGCGTAGTGGTTACGAATCGGGCTGCGAACCTTAAGGTCAGCGGTTCGAAACTACCAGCTGCTCCGCGGGCGAAAGATCAGGCTTTCTACTCCTGTAAAGATTTACACCCTCGGAAACCCTGTACAGGGTCGCTATGGGTCGGAACCGACTCAACGGCACT